AGCCCAACACAAGGCTCCGTGCTCCATGGGGGGTCTGCTTGAAGACTCTCTCCCTCTGGCCCTCCTTCCCATTCAATCCCCCTCTCTCTCTCTCTCTTGCTCTCTCTTTCTCTCTCTCAAATAAATACATACATCTTTTTAAAAAATGGTTAAGATGAGGGGGCACCTGGGTGGCTCAGTCGGTTAAGCCTCCAATTCCTGATTACAGCTCAGGTCAGGATCTCACGGTTAGGGGATCAGGTCCAGAGTCAGGCTCCACACTGGGCATGGAGACTGCTTAAGATTCTCTCCCTTCCTCTCCCTCTGCCCCTCCCCCCTCAAAAAAAAAGGATAATTGTTAAATCTTGTTATATTTTATATGAAATAGGAAATGTTTCAGTATTTTAAAACTCAATTACATTTCTAGACCAATAACAGAAAAAAAATTTTTTTTAACATGCCATTTGCAACAATGTCAGTAAGTGCCTATTGGTGAGAACAACAGCATGCTATTCAAAGACATTAAAGATCTAAATAAACAGGGAGGTAAACCTTCTCATATTCGTGGATTGGAAAATTCAACATTCTCCACATGGTCCACAGAATCCACGCAATGTCAAACAAAACCCCAAAATCCCAAATTCTGTGGCATTAACAAGCTCAACAAGCTCACTCTAAAGCATATATTTTAAAGTAGAGGGCAGAGAAACACCAGAGCCTGCAGCAGGTTGGAAACCAAACCAGTTATGTACCCACGTGCAAGAGAGAGGGACCCGTGGCATTACATGCTCCTGAACTCTGTCCAGTGACTTGAGCAATGTGAAGACATTTGTGTCCTATGCAAGGAAGACCATCGAGGATGACACAGTTGCACATGGGAGGTTTTCGATGGACTAGAAGATTGAGGACTGTTTCCTTTGGGAAAATAAAGACAAAGGAATACAATCCCCAAATAATAAATAAGTAAATAAAAATGGAGGGCCAAGAATAGTCAAGAAAATGAAGAGCGAGGTGAGAGATTTGCTGTACCACATATCAAGGATTATTATCAAAATATTTTTTTAATGTCTAAACGTAGGATGGTACTGGCAGAGAAGCAGATCGATCGATGGAACAGAAGCAAAGAAACAAATCCATACGACATGTACTGCGCAACTGGGGTTACAGAGCGGTGGGGAAAGGATGGAATTTTTAATTCATTTTTCTGGAACATTTATCTACCTGGAAAACAATTAGATTTGACTCCTTCATCACACCATATGAAATACATGGTATTATTCCATCTATACAAAGCTAACCATAATGCAAAAACACATATTGTTTAGAGATGAAGATATTAGTAGTAAAAACTATTGAAGAAAGAAGAAATGATACACACAATAAAGGGACAGTGGCTCCACTTGGAGGGAAGGAGGTGGGATGGGGGAGTCCATCCCGGGAGTTGAAAGGGAAAGGTAACATTCATTTCTTAAACTCAAGGTTCTTATGCCATGATTCTTATATCTTAGATGTGTTCCACAAATCCTTTCATATGACAATATGTAATCATCATAATGTAATTAAGTAATAAGTAATTAAGACATATAGGAAAAAAAGATGAAGAAACGACCAACTATGTCATGATAAGATGCACACTAGGACGCCTGGCCCGGTCAGTCATGAGAGCAGGCAACGCTTGATCTCTGTCGTGAGTTTGAGCCCCACGTGGGATGCAGAGATTACTTACATAAAGAAAACTTAAAAAAAAAAAAAATGCTCACTAGTGAACTGGCAAGGGGTGGGCCCAGCTCTGACCACGTGCCCAAGCAGAGGCTCCGCCTTTTCACTCATTAAATGGGGCTAACAATACCGGTGCAGATCTTCTGAGAGTCACAAAAGACAACGGACGAGAACGTTTCTTGTAAAAATAAAAGTGCTACACAAACGTAAAGTGGTGTTATTCTTAATAATTCCCAATTTGCTGGGCAGGGAATAGAGAGCTGCAGCCTGGGACTCGGTCCTACCCCTTCTGCAGCCCTTCCATGGGCTCACAGAAATGGGCAGTGGCCCTGCCGCTCAGCTTCAGGCCTCAGGGCCCCCCGCTGAAGGGTGACTGTCAGTCCGCACGGTGAGGGGGACAAGAGCCTCACCTGGGGCAATGGGGTCACACAGCCACTTCCTCCCATCCGCAGGTGCACCTCAGTGAAGGGACAGAGATCGAATGAGCCCCCCCATCCGAACCTCTCCCTCCCCTCTACACCCAACCCCTACTCCACCAAGAGAGCTCAAAGGGTTCACTTCAACTTTACACCAACTGGAGTCAAATACCCGAAAAAACGAACAGCCCGTGCACCACCCCCCCACCAGATCCCATTGGAAATGCTGCCTCCTCCCACCACCACCACCACCACTCCCCAAAAAAACCTTTAAAATCATACCTTGGGGGCACCCGGCTGGCTCAGACAGTGGAGCCTGGACTCTTGGCTGGCCTCGGGACTGTGAGTTCAAGACCCACATTGGGTGAAGAGATTACCTAAAAATAAAAATCTTAAAAAAAAAATCATACTCTCAAAGCAAAAGAAAAGATTTGCTTTCTATTTGGGATTTGTTTTATTTTTTTAAATCCATGTTCCCGTTCCCTTCCACTGCTGTGGGGAAGCAGAAGCTAAAGGACAAACGTCTTTATTCAGCAGATGGACTGCGCACGTGTGTGGGTTCGCTTCAGCCTCCACGGCTCCCCAGAAACGTGGGGCTGAGCCTGCCAGAGCAGCTCCGCCCTCGCCCTCGGCGACAGCTCCTGCTCCCTCTTGGCACCAAGGTCTTTGGGTCCCTGGAAGAGGGGAAGGGCTCAAACCCTAATCGTCTCTGCAAACCGCCGTCCTTCCCCGGACCGGCTCGCGCAGGTGCGTCGCAGACGAAGTCGAGTTAGGGTTAACCCTGACCCGTACCCGTACCCGTACCCGTACCCTTAGGTACCCTAACCCCGTAGAGACCGGTTGCTGGAACCCAGAGACCCCGCCACTGAAGTTCCCCGGGCGGACAAATCCCGTCTCCCGAGAGTCGGGGCTGCGGGTCGCGCCGAGACCGACCCCCTCCAGGGCTTCAGGAAAGCGGGCGCCGCCCTGCTGCCGGCGTCCGGCTCGCGGCCCGCACGAGGGCGCCCGCTCCGCGCCCGGAAGTGCCCGCTGTGGAGGCGGCGCGGGTGCTGGGAGAGCCGGGGCTGGCACGGGGCTCTCCAGCCTGGGGGCCGGCAGCCCTGCGTCCCTCCCGCTTCCTCTCCACGCCCGTCCCACTCCCCGCGGCGCAGGAGGGGCAACTGGGGGGGGGGGGACTTTCTCGACTGTTCTCTCTTCGCAGCCCCAGGGAGAAGGAAGACAGTTCGGCAAAGTGGGGCTCCCAGAAAGTGGGGAGGAAAGAGGGAAGGAGCCTATGGTCTCCCTCCGAGGTGCCCAGAACGTACAAAGGAGCGTGCCCAGCCCGGACGAGGCCTGGAGGGGGACAGCGACTAATGGGACATGGGACAAATGCCCCATTGCCCTTAGGCCCAGTTTATCCCCCTGCCCCACACCCTGAAACCTCAAACGCAAACAATGCATTCAGACGGTAATTCCATTAGTCATCCTCCCTGAGGGGGCCGAGAGCCCAGCCTGGTTCCCATGAAGTGACTGGGCTGACTCATGCCGGGGCTGCAGGGATGGGCCAGATCCGGATTGACCAAAAGGCTGAAAAAGCTCGAAGCTGTGCTTAGCCCAGCCCCTGGGACCCCACCGTGCCCCCATCGTGAGAACCCTGGGAATCTCATGTTCCTGCAGCTGCCAGCTACTCAGACCACCGCCCCCAACACAAAAGACAGAGACAGACTCTTAAAGTAGGCCCCCCCACCTTCAACTGGGCCATGGGCAGCTGCTGTGGGCTCAGCCCGCCAGTGGCCTCTGTCCTGCCAGGCTTGGGTCATGCCAGACGCGCCCTCTCTCCCTCCCTTCACTGCATAAGCGCCCCCCCACCCCCCACCCTTCAGTCAGCACACCCAGAGCACAGCAGGCCTTTGTCTTCTGGGACGCTGCTAATGAGGTGGGAGGCAAAGGCAGAAAGAAATGTAAGTAAAATTAAACGCCCTTACAGCCTGTGTCCCTACACGCTACACCCGGTTGATAAAATACCCAAGGCAGGCAGAGTACAACCTTCCTCCAGGAAGCTCCCTACTGTCTTAATGTACACGCTTCGCTAGAGGGAAAAACCTTACTCAGCTTGACAATAGCCAGGCACCTGGAGAATCTGCTTTAGCCCGTAGAACTCCTTCTGGAACTTCCCTTATCTTTACTTCCCCCAACCCAGAGGTGTACAATCAGTGGTTCCTCACAATCCTGGGACAGCAGCTCTTTCTGCCCACGGGTCCTGTCCCCGTGCTTTAATAAAACCCCCTATTTGCACCAAAGAGGTCTCAGGGGGGCGCCTGAGTAGCTCAGAGGGTTAAGCTTCTGCCTTCTGCTCAGGTCGTGATCTCAAGGTGCTAGGATTGAGCTCCCCCCACCCCCCAGGGCTCTCTGCTCAGCAAGGAGCCTGCTTCCCCCTCTTCTCTCTACCTACTTGTAATCTCTCTCTGTCAAACAAATAAATAAAATCTTTAAACACACACACACAAACACACACAAAGATGTCTCAGGAATTCTTTTTTGGCGGTTGGCTCCAGCCCTCACCAACCTCAACAACATTCAAAAATTACACCACCAGGACTATCTCTGCTCCACTCTGGACCCATCACAGCCTGGCTTGGGCACCATTTCCTTCCCCACCCACATTCCAGAACCCTCTTTCCTGGGAACCACGTGAGCCTTCCTTAAGAAGCCTTCGTCCAGGGCGAGACCCTTTTCTAATTCACGTGCAGTCACCTTACAGGCAAGCAGCAGTCAGGGTGGCCCCAGGTGTGGGGCCCTGCCATGTCACTCCCAGAGGTGACCATGAGCAAAGTCTGATGGCTGGCACAGCACCAATAAGAGGAGGGAACAGAGATCACTAGGAAGCCAGGACACAGAGGCAGACTCGACCAAAAAAAGTTATTTATTGAACAATTACCCACCACAGTATTTTACTTAGGCAGGCCCGCTCAAGGGTGTCTCCACCTCCTGACTTGTTTTCAGCCCTTGAGAGCGTCATTGTAGATCAAAGCCAAGGCCCCCAGAAAGGTGACATATTCCTGGAAGTTCACCACCTGGTCCTTGTTTCGGTCCAGGTCCTCCATGAGCTTCACAATGTCAGCGTCCTGCAGCCTCTAACGTGTCAGAAGGGAAATCCAGCCTCAGTGTGATGAGAGCCTCGGGTTCTCTCCCTTGCCCCCTCCAGGCAGCCCTCCCTCATACAGGGGACCCTGTGCTCTCCTCGTCAAAGACACTGACTTTATTTCTCCACTAGGCTCCGCTCCTCACTGGCAGAGAGCACCAGGCTGAGGACTGGGAACTGACCCATGGTCCCAGTAAGCTGTGGGCTCGGCCCCAGAATATGGATAACTGAGCGACAGATGCACCTGGACCCCTCCCTCTCCTCACCCTGCTTCCCAAGGGCCCGGGGAGCGGCCTTACTCACCGCGCCGATGGTGAGCTCCTTCTGGATCAGCTCCTTCAGCTCCTTCTTGCTCAGAGTGCTCCTGTCGCCATCCTTGCCCGAGTACTTATGGAAGATGGCCACGAGGAGGCCAATGGCCTGGTCCAGGGGGCACGCCATGGCTGGGCGCTGGGCTCAGAGCTGGGGACGGAAAGGCTGGTCAGTGCCGAAGGGCCTCCCCACCCGCCCACATTCATATTCCCCAAGGGCTCTGTCCCCAGCCGCACCGCACCGGTGTCACCAGCAGAAGTCGGCTCAGGGCTTGGCGGGAGGGAGAGGCAGACCTGAAGGCCCCCAGGAGAGAGGTGGCCAAGCAGCAGGCAGGAAGGACCACGGCCGGCCGAGAGCCAGCCTCAGGGTCTCCAGAAGTCGGGGAGGAGGAGGGGGATCGCACACCCGGGACACGCCCTCCCGCAGTCCGGGGTGCACTCGGGGGAGCCACCTGCCGCCCGGGGGCCGATTCACCCCAGGGCGGGCGGCCCCGCGAGGACTCACCGCTCGGCCAGGAGAGCGTCCGCGGACCCGCGGGGCTGTGGCCAGCGCGCCTTTTAGCAGCCGCCGGGCGGAGGCCGGGCGAGTCAGAGCCCACCCCACCCCCGCGGCCAGGCCCCCAACCCCGCCCCGAGCCTCCCTCCCCGCCGCCGCCCGGGGCCAACTTCCCCCCCACCCCGAGCCAGCCCCACCGCGCCCTCCGCGCCGCCCTCAGGCCCGCCCCGTCCAGGCCCGCGGGGCGCCGGGCCCACACCCGGGGCCCCCCCAGCTCTCCGCGCCGCTGGCCTCGGGCTGTTCCGGTTCCCGGCACAGAACGGGGATCCCAGGGGAGACCGTTGCCAGCCAGGGACACCGAGCTCCCGGCCAGCTCCCCGGCCCACGGCGGGGGGGCGGGGGGCTCCCTAGAGGGTGTTTGGGGACAACCCCCGATGAAGGAGGGGGAGCGGCCAGTGGTCTGTAACCTGTGATTTAAAGGACATCTGGAACACCCACCCCTCAGCAAAAACAAATTCCCACCACCACCCTCACAACCCTTCCTCCCCCGGCGCAGACCGTCCCCTCCCTCCCTCGCCCCCAACCACGCCCCACACCCCAGCCTGGAATTCCGCCCACGGCCTCCCGCCCGGCGGTGTGCGCGCTGCGCTCCACGGAGCTCTGTACCCTCCGGTGGAAACGGTTTCCAGATCCTCTCCTGAGTTGTAGAGGGGAGTGAAGACAGCCGGAAGCCCCGGACCCCACAGAGGACTGGGGTGGGGCGGGGCGGGCTAGCGGCCGGGGGCGAAGTGGGGAAAGGAGGCTGGCGAGGGGACCTCCTGTGGCCTCAGAATGGCTTGTCCACCGCCGCCCTGGGGAGCCTCCCCCAGCGCCCGCACCTCCTCCGCCCTGTCAAAGCGCTTCCTCTTCGCTTTCTCTGGGAGGCAGGGGAAAGCCTGGCCCAACTTCCCCATTTTCCAGAAGGGCAAAACTAAGCCCAGGAAGTTCAGTGACATCCACACCGAGGCAGGGCAGGAAGGGAGGAAGCCCACGACCCTAAATCCCGGAGGCCCTCAGCCCACGCAAAGAGGCGTTCTCCCTTGCCCCCCACCACCACCCCTAGGCAAGGGGGACAAGACATCTTCAAAACCAGCCAGGAATGGAAAATCTTTATTTGCCCTGCTGGAAGGGAAGGCGGAAGCAGGGTCCATCCAGAAGGGAGGCGAGGGCAAGGGGCCAGAGAGGGGCTGTGAGAGGGGCTGCGGAGACCAGGGGGAAGGGGCTGAGCCCTGGTCATTTACTGTCCTCCAGGAAGAAGTCGTTGTAGGCCATGCACAGTGTGGTGAGGAACACCGAGTACTCCTTAAAGTCAATTTCCTGGTCACTGTTCTTGTCCAAGCTCTTCATCAGGTCATCAATGCTGGTCTCCTTCATCTTCTTCAAGGGAGAGGGACAGGTCAGCCACCCCAAATAGCCATGCATCACCACCACACGGTGCCACCCACGACCCGGGAAAACAGCCTCAGGGTGACTCTTAGCTGGGTCCTCAACATGGACGGTCTCAGCCCCCAGCGCACACGCAGCACCGGGCCTGGCACCATGCGGTGACCCACCCTGAATCCAAGCAACTGTCCCTAGGAAAGCCGGCCCAAGCGCCCCTTCCCACAGCACTTCCCACCATCCAGGGAAATAGTGGTCTGGACATTATACAGCGTCCAACAGAAATGCCTTGGGGACTGTGTGGCACTGAGCCTGATCAGACGTCTTCCGTCCCTGCAGAGGGTAGCTGAGACCTGACCCAGACAGCATGCCACGAAAGCCACGTGTTGGAGCCCAGAAGCCACCGCGGCCTTCCCTTCCTGGGAGAGCTTGCCGCTCGGCTGTGTGGAGATGAGGCCGGGGCTCAGCCGTGTTCTATCTGTCCCCTGCTCTCCACTGCTCTCCCAGACCAACTCCACAGAGAGGATGAAACATGGCCCTCGGGTGGGACAGGAAGAAAACACAGACAAGTTCTGCCCTCCCCTCTTCACTGCCCTCAGTTCCCACTTTTCCACCGGAGACACATGTCAGGACAAATGGAGACGGAAACAGCTTCTCTGTGACATGGTCCTTGCCCCAGCATTCCCCAGGCCCTCTGTGCCCTGTAATTAACCCCTGGGGACCCGCCACCCCTCCTTTTGCCCTCATTAACTTCAGGATGCAGAGAGCCTGGCAGGAAAGCCAGAGGGCAAGCTTCGTGAAACCCACACCTGCTCCTGTCCGCTGCCCAAGGGAGGCCCACCAGGGTTCACAATGTGACTGGAGAGGCCCCAGGACTAGATTTTCAAGGAAGAAGGAAGGACTCGGCCTCTTACTAGCTGGGTGTCTTTGGACAAGTTAGATAATATTTCTGAGCCTCTGTTTTCTCGAGCTGTAAAAATAATATAACTTCCTCCTAGGCTTTCCCCTCGGTCAGCCACCTCCCACCTTCTCCATCTGGCGAGAAGCAGTCTGTCTCCTTCCATCCTTGTGTCCCCAAACGAGCAGGACACTTTTTGTTCCTGTGTCAGTGCCAGCTGAGAGCCCTGGCTGTACAGGGCACACAGGCGGAGGCCCAGCCCTTGCACCTCACACAGCTTGAGCTGGGCACCCTGGGGCCTTTTCCCCCACGATTCCTCACACAGGCTCTTCGATGGCTCCGTGCGCCCGGCCTCAACACACAAGGCTCCCCGACCTCTAGGCCTTCATGCAGGCTGGAATTCACCCTCTGGACGTGGCCCTTCCTCCTTCCCAGGGAGACCCAACTCACCTCCCATCACAGAGGCCGTGCACCTGTTGGCCCAAGATGTCCACCTTCTTCCTTAGTCTCTGTCAGTCCCATTGGTCACCCTACTCCAGGCTGAGAGCAGAGCACTGGGAGGGTAGGTGCGTGTCCCCTCTGCTGGTTCTCTCGAGATGCAGAGCTGGGGCGTCCTACCTCACAGAAGGGGAGCCCCTACAGTGGTGTGGTGCTTCCTCTGTTCTCTTCCTCCCCCGTGGTGTGCGCAGGGAGAACTCGGGCTTTGGGCTTTAGGGAGTAGTCACCTACCTCTCCAAGACACAGCTCCTTCCCGATCAGCTCCTTTAGTTCCCTCCTGCTCAGGGTCAGTTTGCTGCCTTCTCTCCCCGAATATTTATGGAAAGTGGTGACCATAGTGGTCAGGGCCTTCTCAAGAGGTGTCTCCATCAGTGAGCTCTGGAGGGTGAAGGGGGAGGGAAGGATCACCATCCGAGGGAAGCCAGACCTACTGCTTCCCCATCGCTAGTCCAGCCCCAAGGCAAACAAGGAACAGCCAGAGCCACGAGACCCTCCAGCCCCACAGGAGCCTACACACGCCCCTGCTTAGGAGATGCTGGAAAAGGGCTCTAGGGGCAGATGACCTCTCCACGAGATGAACTGGTGGCAGACAAAGGAGCCAAGAAAGGTCCCCTGGCCCATTGAGCTCGGGCAGTCACTCCCCAGAGGCTGTCTCGCCCCAGTCACCTTCCTATGCCCAGGAGCCTGAATCACCGGAGAGTGGGGAGTGTCCCATTATGGAGGTGGAGGACAAGGCAAAGACAGTCCAGGCTTCGGAGTGGGGCTGGAGCTGGACCTGGGAGCTAAGATCTCAGCAGGAAACAGGGCAGAGTTTGCTGGACCTGTCCCGCTGGTCTCAGTCTCTGGCCCACAGACCTGCACACAACCGGCACTAGGAGGGGAGGGCCTATCTCCAGGACTCCTCTGAGGGCTGGATCCAGAGGCTGGGTTTGAACATGATCCTCCAGGTCCTTCAGCATGGCCACACCTACCCAAGGAAGAGGCCGCTCCCATGACTTAGGAAGGGGACAACACCCAAGAAACCTGGGGGCTCCAGGTCAATCTGTGTGGAGTCCAGAGCAAGAAGGAAGAAGCAGCTGGCTTTCACCTTCGCCCAAAGCCCACCTAGTGATTCTTGAGCTGGATCTGTCATTCACCTCTAGCTACCCCAAAACCTCAGCATCATGCCCCCTCCCACTCCAGAAGACTCAGCCTTGGGCACAGGGGAGGGGAGGGCCTCTGGGCGTCGGGGACAGCACCCCAGCTCTTCTGACTGCAACTGCATACCCAGAGCCCCTTCCTGAGAAACTCCGATAAGCACAGCACCACACTCTGCCCTCCTTCATGAGCCCATGTCTGCCCATCATGCCAGGCCTTCCTTGGTGGTGGTCCCCAAGGCTGTCGTGGTCTGGCCTCACCGCCCTACTTGCCCCACCGTACAGATGAGCAGGGAGGTGAGGAGGAAGGACTCACCAGGGAAGGAGCCAGCAGACAACCCACACAGCACAGTCTCCCTCCCACCACTCCCTGCCTTTGTTCCCTTGCTCTGGTCCCCAGGAAACCAGAGGAGGGAAGGAGCCAATGAGAAGGAGAGGGACCTGAGAAGGCCCAGGTCAGAGCCTCCTGGGATGGGGCTGGGGAGAAACCCCTCTGCCAGTCTTGCCTTCCTTGTTTCCCAACAGAGGGAAAGGGGGCATGTTGAGCTCATTGAGGCACACACATCTTCAATTCCAGAAGGTTTATTTTCCCAACCAAAACCCAGCACTCAATCTGATGGGACAACAGGGGTGGAAGAGAAACCAGGAGCCCTGGAAAAAGGACCAGGAAACGTGGCCCAACACAGGGCACCTCTTCACACCCTAGGCCACTCTCCATACTGCGCCTCCTGTCCACACCAGGAACAGAGCAAACACAACTTGAGATGGGAATCCATGAGGGAAGATGTTCCCTGCTGAGGGCATGGAAGTCAAGGTCAAGGTCATTAGCAACCATGGAGTTGAAGCCTAAGATGCCTCGCCGCTCATCTTCATGGGAAAGAGTTGTCAGAGACGTGGAACAGAGGCCTGGGAATCGGCGACATGGAAGGGGTCCAGGAAGGCTAAGCCCAGGTGACAGGGAAGCAGGCTCAGGGTGCAGGACGGAGTGGAGCAGGGGGCATGGAGAGTGGCCTGAATCCGAGGAGAGACACTTTTACCACCAAGCGGTTCAAGTGTGAGAACGGAGCTGAGTCAGATTGCACCTGTGGGCGCCGCATCCCCACCAGGCCTGGACCCTCCGCCCTGCGCCCACTCTGCCCCGCCCCGCCCCCACCTGGGCTGGCAAGGAGAGAGAGAGAGAGAGGCAGCAGGGACTGGTTGCTGAGCAACGGGAGTTTCCGAGGCAGAGTGATGCGGGAACATCCCTGGGGGAGGGCGCTCCCTTAGAAGATGGGCGGCCAGGGCCCTGGCAGAAGGAGAGGAGGCAGGCTTTTTCCTGGACCAAAATCCTAGCCAGGCCTCTGCAGTCACACTCGGGGGAACATCTGAGTCACCTGCCCCAACTGCTCTGACACTGGAGAGAAAAACAGGGTGTAATGAGAAGGAAAGGGAAAGCTTGAAAGGTCAAGGGAACCAAAACCCCCTACTGCTGGCCATCACCCTCACCGACTTCTTCTTAAAGGCCCTACAACCCCAGGCCCGGCCTGCAGGAGAACTTCCATCACCCATCAGCCTTTAACCTGAAGGGGCACGACATCAGGCCTGGTGTTTTCTGGGGGAAGAAAAATCTCAGTTCTATTGATCAGATCACATGTGTGGAATTTCATCTCCAAAATTAGGGCCACCTCCCACCACTTCCCTCCCTCCCACCCCAGCTACCATCCTCCACTCTTCCCTTTGAGGTCCTTTTGTCCCTCTCTGAAGGACCATGACCCTAACTGGTAACAGCCCTCCTCCCAGGGTCGCTGGTGACATTCTCAGGCTGCTGCAATGGGGTGGTCTCCTTCCACACGGCCTCCCTGACCTAACCACGGACAGGAGGGACTCACCCATCCCTGGGCTGGAAACTAGGGCGTTGGAAGGGGCCCGCAGGGCAGGGCCCTCGTGATTCAGCTCCTTGCCCCAGGGCGCCCAAACTCCATTCCAGGCCCCAGCCAAGAGCAGATGTGACCTTCAATCTCTCCAGAGGCAAGGCTGAGGTGGGAGGGACTAGTCTGCTGGCAAAGACCCCACAGCCGGGGCGCTCTAAGCCTTTGGGAGTTCTTTGCCCTGCCCTGGACACCATCAGCCAGCTCCATCATGTGCACACACAGTCTTCCACTCACCCCTGCCCCCAACCTCACTAGTCTGCTCTCCACGGAACCGCTGTCCACCGCCTGTGCTGCCCACCGTGACCCATCCCTCAGCCCTCACCGCGGCCCCAGAGCCTCTCAGACCATCAACCTCTAAACTTCTAAGACTCTTTATTGAACTTGGTCACAACGTGCACACATCTGGGGGGCCCGGGGTGAGGGCCGGTGCCCTCTGCCAACAGGTAGGGTACTCCCACCCCCGGGGGGGGCTTTCACTTCTTCCGGGGCTGCTTATCGGGGAACCCTTCGAAGAACTCATTGCACATCATGGCAACGCATGACAGGAAGACGCAGTACTCCTGGAAGTCCACCTCGTTGTCCTTGTTGCTGTCCAGGTTGTTCATGAGCTTCTGGAAGGCGGCCTCGTCCGTTCTCTTCTGCGGGGAAGAGGCAACAAGCAGAACCACACGTTCTGGCATGCAGCAAGACTAGAGCCGTTTCCCATCTCCAGACGGGAGCTCGGGAAGGCATAGCCTCGCCCTGGGGGCCCCGCTTTGGCGCCCCTGCTCTCAGGGGCTAAGTGGGGTCCACAGAAGTTCACCCCAAGGGGACGTGCACGCAGCTGGAGAAGGGACCACCACGTCATCCCCCAAGGTTGTTCCAAGAATCCAGCTAGACAGTGGTCACGAAGGTAACATCTAAACTGCGCAGAGTCTGGTATAATCGGGAACTGGGAATGCTCAGGGGCTTGGACATGTGTCTCCTTGACTGTGGCTTCACACCCACAGAGACTCCAAAATTATCTGTTGCCAGACTGATGGCAAATGTCCCAGTTTGTGGATCTCAGCTTTGCATTTTCACAACCTTGGAAGTTGCTTAGCCGCTCTAAATGTCTGTTCCCCTTTAGTTAAGTTGTGCAAAGCCCGTGGTGGGGTCTGGCCTGCACCCTACCTGTGGGTTACCCAGCCCTCCTCCTGCTGGGCTCCCGGAAGTGAGTGGCGGGTGCCCACTGTGTTCCGAACCAAGCCCTCTGCTCGGACGTCCCCATCCCAGGGACAGATGCATCCCAGGGACGGTAGCTACGGCTCTGCCCACAGGCTGGTGCCCCACCAGGCCCTGACCCTTCCCCGTGGAGAGGGGAGCACACAGGGGCGTACTCCCAGACAGTAACCACTCACCCCCAAGAAGCTGGGCAGCTCCCGGGTCAGCAGCTCCTTTAGCTCTGACCTGTTGAGCTTGAACTTGTCACCCTCCTTGCCCGAGTACTTGTGGAAGGTGGACACCATCACATCCAGAGCCTGCTCCAGGGGGCACGCCATGTTGGCGCTCAGGATCTGAGGGTGGGTCCCAGAGACAACCTTGTCTTCCCCAGCCCCACCCTCAGAATGCTCCACCCCACTCCCAGCCCCCAGGGGCCACTTGATGAGATTCTGCTCCCACCAGAAGGGGACCCAGAAAGGTGCGCCGCAGCTCCTAGCGAGAAGTGCGTGCTTCAGGCCACCGTACAGGCTGGACTGTCCTGTCCCGGCCCAGGCTCCGGATTGCAGGCAGCCTCACTCAGGCTGGGCCTCCCCCACTCTCTCCCCCTCCACCAGTACTCCCACGACCACAGCGGCCACACCCTGCCCCGTTCTCCCCATCCCGGGGCTGCTGGAGGCCTGCCCAGGGGCCGCAGCGGAAAAAACCAGCGGCCCAGCCCTGGAGTAGGGAGGGGCAGGGTGAGGTGGCAGAGGCAGAGATGCAGGGCGGGGTGCAGCCAGCTCCCTGTGGGGTGCAGAGCAGACGCCCATAGGACACAAGCAGACAAAAGGCCAGTTGACTTCAGTTTGCTTCCCACACCCGAGTGTGCATACACAGGCCCGTGCAACCCAGCAAACAGCGGCCGATATGCAGACCCACAGGTCACACACACACCAACACACGCTCCAGCAACAGCACGTGCAAAGCCCAGCATCCCCGTGCCACCAGCTAGGTCGAATCCAGGCCCTGCACACTTCTTGTTTGTGGGTTTTTCTCTTGCACATGCATGCAGGCAGGCATGCGTATGCTCACGCGCACACACACACACACACTCACACTCACACACACCCCACTCCAGGGCCTCCACATCACAATCTCACGCTGGACCCCGTTAGCATATCTGGCCCCCACCAGCCACTCCTTCCTCTGCCCAGAGCCTGACCCCAGCCTCACCCTGACACCCTTGTGTGCCAGTCAGGAGACCACGACTTACCAGGCCAAGAGGGAAGAAGAGATGAAGAGGGAGGGTGAGAGGAGAGGAAGAGTGGGGAAAACCCAGCGGTCTGTCCTATTTATACCCTGGCCAGGCCCTGCCCATAGCAGGGGCTGGGGAAGAGCGAGAGACAGTCCTCTTCTGGGCCCCTCCACCAGCCCGGCTGGGAACCCAGCTTCCTGCCCTGGGTAGGCACATTGCACAATGGGAGACCCACACAGCCTGGGGTCTCCATGGGGTGGGCACTGCGCTGTGGGCTCAGCTCAACCTGAATTTTCGGGAGCCAGAGGAAGTCTGTGCCCTGGGCACAGCAGGGGTGGGGGGGGGCAGGGAGGAGGTGGTCCTGCTGGGCAGCCAGAAAAGGGGAGAAAAGGCAGGTGAGTGCGCACGGCTGGCTTGGCTGGTAGAGCACCCTGCTCTTGATCTGGGGACTCTGTGAGCTCAAGACCCATGTTGGGCAGGGAGCCTGCTTTAAAAATAAAATACTATAAAATCTTGAAAAAAAGAAATTGCCCTGGAAATGTGGCTGCCCAGGCACTAAGGAGGGGACCCCAGGAAGCTCTCGCTGCCCTTCTCCCCTCCTTCAAGGGCACTCTGCCATGCTGACGGAGGTCCAGGGCAGGAGGAGAGTCTGGAGGAGGAACAGACCAACGCCCAAAGGTGATGCTAGGACCACCCCAGGCGCATCAGTGCACAAAGGTCCCGGATGCGGTAGTGATGGAGTAGGGAGTAGGAGTCAAGTGTGGGGCTCGGGGATGGACAGCAGGTACCCAGAGGACGGGGGAGAGGGAGGCTATCAGGATGGGGTATCTAGAGTTGGGATAGTATTAAAATGAAGAACACAGGTTGGGGTGGAAAGTTAGAGAAAAAATGGCATGAAGTGGGGAAGGCGGGGATCAGGGTCACCTTCTCAGAGTGGGGTATGAACTCAGCTTTACTGAGGATCAGGAGTAGGGAGCTAAGGCCCTCAGCAGGTTATAGCTTCAGGGATGGGGTCTGTCTCAAGGTGTCCCCTCCCTTGGGCACCCCTCCCTGGCCAAGAGCCATACCCTGGTCAGACCTCAGACACCCTAATCCTATTAGCTCTGCTCTCTGGGCTCCCACACCCAAGCCCACAAGTCCGCCCCACCCCTGCTCCCCAACCCTCCTCCTCAGAACAGCCTTGCTGAGGCCTGAGCACCATCCCTAGGGAATCTGGGGCTGCCCTGGCGTCTTCCTTGACAGCCCAGGGGAGTTGCGCTTCAAAGTCCCCAGAGAGAGAGAGAGAGACACCCCAAAGCCTCCTGGACCTTGTCCTCAGAAGGATCTCCCCTCCCTGCTTCCGCTAGGCTGACTCACCTGGAGCACAAAAGCCCCACAAAAGCCAGAGAGGAGTGAGGACTCTGACCCCCACCCCCCACAAGCCCAAGAGTCGAGAGCCAAACTGGGGACACCGGTTCTTTATTAGGCGTGAAGTGGACCCTCCGGGGTCAGGGCCTCATCCATGCGGCCACAGGGGGAGTCGGTGCTCTGGGGCTTTTCAGCTGGGACCCTGGGGAGGTCCCCTCCCGTCTCTAGCCCCCTGGGTCAGCCCGGCCTGGGCCTCGTGTCAGGCGCCCGTGGGAGCAGAGCCTACTGGGAGCAGGGGGGCTCGGGGGGACAGTCCTTGAAGTACTCGTGACAGTAGGTGCACAGGCAGGCCAGGGCACGCACGAACTCCCCGAAGTCCACCTCCCGGTCCTTGTTGGTGTCCAGGACGCTCATGAACTGATGGTAGTCACACTCCCGCAGCTCCGTCTGCACAGCGTGGGGGGTGGGGGGCGCAAGCTGAGGCAGGGGTGCATGCCCAACCCACCTTCCCCTCCTGGCCGGCCTCCCTGCCTTCCACAGCCCTGGGAGACGAGCCTCAGCCTCCAGCTCTGCCATCTGCCTGCGTCCGCACCCCGCAACCGCCCTTCTCAGGTCCCACAGCCCGCTGCATGTGGGAATGCTCCCCAGTGCACCCTCGCCGGCCTCCCAGCCGCCTGCCAAGCAGCAGGTGTGGCCATGCTCTGTCCCCTCACAGACGGGGCCCTGGGCTCGCAGACGGGGCCCTGGGACCCCTGCCGCATCCGCTCGCCTCCTCACAGCCTCACCCCTGCCCCATTTGCTCCGAGCCGGTCCCCAGGGCTCTCTCTGCAGTCCGGGCAGGGCCTCCCACACACTGGCCCCCCCAGGAGCTCACCGGGGTCCAGGTGGGCAGCTCCTTCTGCAGCAGCTCCTTGAGCTCCCCCTGGCAGAGCCTGTGCTTGTCCCCGCCGCGCCCCGAATACTCCTGGAAGGTGCACACGATGGCAGCCACCGCCTGCTCCAGAGGCCTGGCCATCCTCACTGTCAGAGGACATGGAGGTGAGACGCAGCCGGAGGCCCAGCCATGCCTAGGACGTTTCTCAGAGACCGCTCCCACACACTCCTGCTGCTTCCCCCCTCCGAGCAGCCCGGCCCTGACCACTCCAGCCTCTTCTAATTTCTCTCCCTATGACTCCAATGTCATTTTCCTGGACAGAAGTCTTCTTTCCCTACCATCAGGGCAAACTCCTCAGAGAGCACCCCACCCCCCAACTGCATCCCCACACTGGGGATACTTGAGGACTCCCTGGCTGTCTCCCTTCTCTCGACCCTGACACCCAGGAAGGGCTCAGGCCCATGGTGCCCCACCATGAGATAAAGCCTCCAGACCCGCAGGAAATTGCCCAAGGAGATACTTGCCCCGTAACCCCCCCTCCTCAGATCCTTGGAGCAGCTGGGCTTCTCAGGGAGGGGTCAGGTCTGAGAGCAACCCCAGCACCTCACCACCACCCTCACTCATCCCTGCTCCCCTGAACTCTGCCTGGGACCCCCTGTGCATCAGGCCAGCCACACAACCTCAGATGAGCCCCTAACACTGGGGGGCAGGGGCCCTACCTGTAAACTGGGCTTCATTCCACCTCTCAGGCCTGCTCAGGGACCCAAACCGGCAGTCCACAGAGGGAGCCAGCTCAGGGGTTCACGGGTCAGTGATTTGCCCCACCTGAAGCTGTCTCCCTGCCCCCTGGGGTCTTGAGCCAGAAGGTTTAGCATAGGAACACCCCTTCTCTCAGAAGGGCAGGCTTTCCTGGAAGTGCCCATCTTCCCCAACCCCACCACCTCTGGGAGGATGCCTCCAGCCTGGGGAACCCTGAAGCAGCTGGGAAGGCCCTGCTAATCCCCTGTGAACCTAGGGCCTTGCTCCCCCAGGGGACAGGAGTGTGCCCCAGGGAGGCCAGGCTACGAGGCGCTCTCCCGGGTGCCCCTCTGCTGGGCCATACAGAACGCCCCTGCCGGCAGGGTTGGGCGCGGGGGTGATGGGGCAATGCTCAGCCAGCGGTCTCTGTGACAGCCCAGCAGTGGAGCTGGGATGGGAGTCTGTGCTTCCAGCAGAGGAAAGGGCCACACGCACAGGGACTAGGGAAACTCAGAGGTGCTCGGCGGCCCTTCTGGGCTCCTGCCAGCCTGGCTGGCACCACCCCAGGGGGCTTTTTCAGAAGCTGGGTGCCTGGAGCCTGAAGGGAACCCTCTCTTCCCTGTGAGGCCCCCACCCCTGCCAGACCTCCGCACTGCACACCCCTAACCCAAACTTCCAGACTGCCCTTCACTGTACCGAGGACCACTGAACCCACCATAGCTGACTTCCGGCACCTGGCCAGTACCTGCAGTGCTCGTCCCTCTACCCCCAGGCCCAGCTCCCAATCCAGGGCAGAACCCAAGCAGCTGGCACTCACCACGAGTCTTGGTTTCAGCTGTAGGAGGCTAGAGACGGGGCGTCCCTATTTCTAGTCTCCCAGCGAAGGAAGGGAGCAATTATGAGGGCCCAAGTAGGTCAAACTGAGGGTGCCCCCAGGGGCTCCCCTGCCTCCTTCCCTGGCGGCCCTTATTATGGTCCCCTAGGGCCCACCCACGCATGCATACATCAAAGGGCCATTTAGGGCCACAGACACAACCCCCTTATTGCCCACCCCCAGAGCTGGGAACAGGGCCCAACACACCCCCTTCCCCTTCCAGCCTCTGTCGGAGGAGACAAGACGGGCTAATCCATCCCATCCACGCCCCCTTCTTCACTCTAGAAGCACACATAGCTTCACCGCCCCCCCTCAGAGAATCCTTGTGCCCGAGGGGATCCTGGAGAGCGTCTGCTCAGCCCCATTTGCAGGCGAGAACACGGAAGCCTGAGACAGCCTCCCTGTATGACCAGGTCAGTGGTTCTTTGTCACTTTGGTCTGTGGCCTGCTCTCTCCCCTGAGGAGACCATCTGCAGGGTGTCTAGAACGCTAGGAGGAAGGCAAGCTGCTCCGAGGGGCCCTTCCCAGTCAGGCTGACCTCTCTGTGGCCCACAGCCCACTGCCCTAAGCGCTGTGAGTGGGCTCAGACCCTGCAGGCTCCCCTACGTGTGCAGTCCCCAGGTCTGTGTCCTGTCCTCTGTTCCTTGAGGTCTGATGGGATGGGGCCTGGGTGTCCTCTGGCTCTCAGCTGGAGTATGTAGCCCTTTGGGGTCCCAGCATTATGGAGACTGTCCCCCTTGTCTCCCCTCCTCAGTGAGCCCTGGGCTTCAGCTCCCATCTTCCTAACTCCACAGACACCCTGGCTCAGCTCAGCCAGTGCTCTCAGGGTGTGAGGGGCCCTGGAGCGTGGCTCAGCTCCTGGAGTTGGTTTCCCTTAGATTTTGGTCTCCTCACTCCTTACTGCCCTGTGAGCTCCTCATTGCTTTGAAACATGCTTTTTAATTCTGTCCAGCACTGTGGTTGTTTTTAGTGGGAACAGGCCCTCTGTATCACTATGACTCTAGTCTGTCTCTCACGCCCCCTTCCCCATTTCATAGCAGGAGAACCCAAGACCCAGGAGAGTGTGTGGAAAGGGGATGGGGAGGTCAGCGCCCAGGCCTCAGAGGAAGCCTGTTGCTGGTGGAGGCAGCCAGAGAGCTCAGGCTGCCCTGACCCCAGCCCTTCCTCTGTACCCAGACTTTGTCTTGCATCATCTCCATGGGGACGCAGCCCCTGTGGGGGAGGGGA